GTTTAGCTCAGGGGTCTTCAACGTTGTCCAGGACAAGGACCCCCAAACTGATGACGAGATGGAGTGGGGACACCCTAATTATATATATTGTATGAAATTGTGTTGTGTCAAACTGGTTCTATAGTCACTCTATTACAGACGGAGTAATGTAACTGAATATTTTTTGCCCTGTAATAATTAAAGGGAATATAAAAGAAAAAATCTAATCAACCAAAACTTTCTACAACCCCCATGCAGTACCTCCGTGGACCCACTAGGGGTCGCGGACCCCCTGTTGAAGACCTCCGGTTTAGCTCCATTGTCAAAGTTTTCCACCATCTCCTCAATTCAAGAAAAAAAAATGCACTTATTTTAAGAAAAATGACTTATTTATATTTACTGCAGTGTGGACTGAATCCTCTCATACCGCAGATCTAAAATATTTATGCGTGTTTAAAAACACAGAGCTCTTACGTAGATCTGCATGATCAGAGAAGCTTTGCATCTAAAGAGGAAACGTTTCATCACCATCTACCGTCTTCTTGCTTCAGCTTCCATCCCAAATAACACAGGAACACAGAGGAAAACGGCTGAGTTGCTGGATTTTATTGGTGTGTATATATATTTATACACACTCACACTGCTGCCACTGTTAGAGAGAGAGGCTCATCTCATCATCACCCAAAGCATAAATAAAAACGTCTTTTTTCTCTCTTGGAACCTGGGAAATGAACCATCTAAGGACAGTTATGGGTCGTTTTCAGCACCATTGAATTCTACATTCTCCGTATTGCATCAAGATATAAAAATATACAGATATAGTTTTTCATTTTCTTGAAAACATTCTTTCCGTGTTCAATGGTACGAAACAAGAGAGGAAGAAAAGAGGCGGTCGCCGCGACCGTCGGATCCTCCGCCGCCGCGTCCGTCCGCTCGTTGGTTCACAGCACGCAGTGAAGCGTCGGGAGAAAAAAACACTAAATAAATAAAAGTGAAACATTAAAAGCTCGGCCATCGGAGCGAAAGAGACGCCGGCAGACATGGGAGTGCTGCAGTGCAGGGGTAGGGGGCGCTGTGGAGGACTCCAGGCTGAGCTGCAGGCTCTGAAACCTCAACCAGTCCTGCTGATGAACCAGATTAAAACTGCGCTGTGACTGTTGGCCACCAGAGGGCGACATGTTCAGGGGGGGCTAACTGTTCGTTTGCAGTGCATAGAGAGGGACGTCTGACATGGAGCAGTCCGTGCATCGGGGTTATTGCCCTGTTGTCGCTGCGCATCACACACAAACACGCACACACAGACAGAAAACAGCTGGAGGCCGCAGGTCCTCCCGGGGGCCACGGGTCCTCCCAGGGGTCGCTGGTCCTCCCAGGGGCCGCGGGTCCTGCTCTCCAGCTGCTGTTAGGAGCCAATGTTGGGGTCCATCCGTCCCTCCATGTGTGCGTCAGCCGCAGCAGTCGGTCCATCAGGGATCCTCACATCCGCGAGGAGGCGGACAGCTCGTAGAACAAGACGTAGGCGTCGCTGCTGCGTACTTGGCTGGACGACATTGGCGTTACCCTGGAAACAGAAGGAGAGGCCATGTGAAGGCAAACGAGGATGATCCGGCTGTTCAAGCCCCGCCCCTTCTTATGAGGTCATCATACGGCAACACCACTCGGACAAACTGTGTTACACTCGTTTCTTAAGGATCAAATCTCTGTTGGAGTCTAAACTTATTTTTCCCTATATTTGCTGTTATTTTACATTTCATTGTTGATCTAAAGCAGCTGAAAGTAGAAAACAATCATCGTCAGTCTGGAGGGAAAGAGCTGCGTTCAAAGACAGACTGAGCTCTGCTGTTTAACAAGGAGACAAAGTCTCAGCTTATTAAGATCTGAGGGCAGGGAAACACTTAATATTTCAGTGGGGTTAGCCGTGTGTGTGTATGGGTGTATACGTGTGTGTGTGTGTGTGTACGTGTGTGTGTGTGTGTGTACGTGTGTGTGTGTGTG